GGCAGCCGTGGCAGACATTGCCAGACCCACTGCCTAATGCAGTGCCATCCAGCTGCCCTCATATTCTGTTGGGGTGGTCTAGGGTCTAGGGTGCATAGGATTTTAGGGTGTTAGGGTGTCGGAGGTTTCATGAATTTTGGTTGTACGGGTGCTGCAGCGTGAGAAAGCTCGCGCGGTGCTCCGACACCTGACGCTAGGCACATGTGAGGCTCGCCCTTTGCTGACCCCTCAGCGCCTACCTTCGCTGTGAGTCTCTTCGACTTTCCACCCTGCGCTAGGGTCAGTCAAGCACCAACCCATCTCCTGACGTCTCGTTTTTGCAGAGCGCTGTAGTGTACATCTTGGTATTCGGCTGGGCCTTTGCTAGCCCGAGGCCCAACCTTCCCCAAGTGCCCTAAACCCTTAACCCTACAGGCCCCACATCCTAACCACAGAAGTCCTGACAGTCCTGGCGAGGCTGGGTTGGAGTGCAGGAGGCCATGAATGTCCTCCTGGGAGCATGAGGCCTTTTGCCGGATCATGGTTGGACTTTACTTATGGGCTTATGGGTTTGGGGTTTAGGGTTGCATCTTTAGTCAAGATGGTTATTCCATTTATTAGGGCAGGCTGAAGGTGAAGCAGGCATCTGTCGACATCCGCGGACCGTTGCTTGGGTAATGCATCACTGCACTGAAACGCCATCTCCAAGCTGCATTGTGACTCGAGGAATCCATGCTGACTCTGACAGAGCGCAGAGTTCCAGCGTGCAGAAGCGTTCCGCTGCATGGCTTTTCTGGCACCTCGCTGCTGGTTTCGTCAGAAGCCTCGGGTTTCAGTGCCAGAATGAGGGCAAGTCTTTCCTTGCAGAAGCTGCGAGTCGTAAGACGGGCATGTCTCAAAGCCAGCCCTGGCTCCCAGTGTCCCAATGCTGGTGTGCCGACAGCGCCCGCACCGATGCAGACTTCTGGTGCCGGATGAGGGGACAGGCGCTTGAAAAGCAGGCTCGAAAGTCCGAAGCGGTTCCTGATTCATCTCCGATGCACAACGGCTTAGAGACCCCCATGTCCGGTGTCCCATCATCTGATCATGGCAGCTTCCCAGTTTCCCAGAGCTTGGCAACTTGCATCCTTCCCGAGCTGATCCTCGACGTGTCTCAGGTTCAGCGTTTGTAGGGTTGTTTGTAGGGTTGTTTGTAGGGTTGATTGTAGGGTTTGTGAGGGTTTGTGGGGGCTTGCAGGGTCAGGGTCCAGTAGAGGATGCGAGCGGCCAAGCGCCCTGGAGCTGAACAGACGCAGAGTGGATCCCTTACAGCTCGTGTTTGGATTTTAGCGCTTACATGGGTTCATTCTGGGTCCACCCTGCTGTAGCTAGCGCCCAAGCCCCCCCAACAAACCCTAGAATCCTACCGGTCTACGCAGCAAGTCATCAGCCCTAAAACCTTGTAAACTTTTAGCCCTCAGTCGTACATCCCCAAGCCTTACGCTACGCCACCTCCAGAAGGAGGCCGCTGGGACCGGCAGGTCAGGATCAGGAGAGCAGGTTTGGGAGATATTTCCTGGGGTGTTTGGGCTCTGGGGGAGGGGTTGGGAGATACTTGGGTTTTTAGCCTCGGTCGAGCATACGGTGCAGGCTGCAGCCTGCATGGCTGGCAGGCCTGCAAAAGGGCCTAGGGAATGTTTAAAGGGTCGAAGCTCTGTACTTCAAAGTGAGAACTTTGAGGGCCTTTTGAACAACTTCATCCTGGGTCTGCCGGTGGCCCCTTTTGCAATTCTGGGGGCTTCTCGAAGATGTGGAGTCGCCGCTGGTCTGTGTACATGATCCATATTGCGCTGGGAGAGTCGTTGGCCACTCCATTCTTCTTTTAGGAAGCCACTGCATCAGGCGGGCCTTTGCAATTTTCGCCATCTGGCAAAGACGGTGGACAGATGCAAGCTGCAGCTTGCAGGGCGTGGACAGAAAGCAAGACAGCTCCGGCCTTTGACATGTTTTTTTTTTCCAGCTTCGGCAGCCCAACGTGTCCATGTCACCGTGGCACCGGTTCCATGGCACCGCGGTTCAGAGCATTTCAGAAGCGCTCCAGTGCTCCCGCCATTTCTTCTCAGCAATGATCTAAGCATCCCCGCTCCCTTACTGCACAGGCCCAGGCATCACGCGGAATCACACCTCAGACCTCGGATACCCTGAACGGGCGTGTAGTGTAAGCCTACAAGTTGTAGGTCTCGATCTCCTGGCTTCCTAAGTTGCGTGCCTGTTCGCTACCCGCTTCTGCTCAAGTCGCGCTGGCTTGGGGCTGAACATTTTGGCTATCACAGTGGAGCTTTGAAGAACGCTTTGACATGTTTTGACCGTGTCAGACGCAACAACCTTTGCAACACTTGGCTTGGGGCCCTGTGGCCCTGTGCGGCGGATGGCTGCCATGCCTCCCCAGTCCGAGGAGTGCTTGCATGTGCTTGCTCACGGGGTAGGACAGTCGGAGATGGCACGATGTCGGAAGAACCTGCTAAATGATGCTCTGTAGCATGGCGAGGAGGCAAGGGTTTTTATAAAGGGTTTGTGCTTGCAGCGCTGAAGGGTGCAGGCGCTTTCGATGCATTTGGCAGGAGATGCCAGATGCTGCGCAGAAGAAGGCGCCGGAACAGGCGGGCAAGGAGTCCTCTCATGCCGATCCTGCAGAGGAAGGCGACCAGAAGGGCGATGATGCAGGTGGTCTGGGCTTGGAGGAGGGGGAGTCTCCTGAGCGCGCAGAGAGGCAGAGAGACCAAGAGGAGGAAGAGCAAGATGAAGTGGAGGAAGCGGAGGAGGCCGGAGCGGAGGAGGCCGAAGCGGAGGAGGCCGAAGCGGAGAAGGCCGAAGTGGAGGAGGCCGAAGTGGAGGAGGCCGAAGTGGAGGAGGACGCAGTGGAGGAGGCCGCAGCGGAGGATGTGGAGGAGGAGGAGGATGAAGAGGAGGAGGCCGAAGCAGAGGAGGATGAAGAGGAGGAGGCCGAAGCGGAGGAGCATGTGCCAGAGGAGGAGGGCGGCGAGGATGAGGAGGCGGAGGAAGCGGCAGAAGAGGCGGACGAGGCAGATGGGGAGAAAGCAATGTTGGACGATGGTGATGATGCCCCTCGTGATGATTTCTATGCAGAAGCAGAAGAGCAAGAATACGAGGATGTCGAGGAAGAGGCAGCCGAAGGCCCATCTGCCACTTTCCGTCTGCCGAAGCTTCAAGCCGACGAAGGGTCTTCTGATGTTTTGTCGCTTTACCAGGAGAACACCCTTTGCAGGGTGCGTGGTGGCTCTTCCTGAAGCATGCAGGATACTGTACCATACTGTACCTATGTTTCATGGTGCAGAGCATGAACTACCGGTATTCACGACGTAAGGCCTGGGATTAGGTACATGCAAAGGGACTGGCTCACGGAAGCGTCAAGCAGAAGAGCAAGCAGTCTGACATGTTCACAATGCTTCGGGCCTTAAGCACCCTGCCTGAGAACCCAAAACTACGACCTACACACTAAGCCTAGGCTGTAAGCTTCCCGACCTTCTCGAAGTGATGTCTGATAGGCCCCGCGAGAGCGCGACCCCACAATCGGGAGGCTTGGTGCATTTCGAGGTTGAGGAGTTTGAGAGTTTGGGCGAATTTTATTCATGGTTTGGGGGTTTCGATCTATGGGGTCTAGGGCTCAGGGTTTGTGCTGCCAAGGGGAAGAGGGGGCTCTTATTCTCAAGGTGTGCGGCGTGCGCCGTGCGCTCATATGGCACAGACAAGTTCCTGGTTTCGCGGCCTTCCCCTGAAGCATCAGATGACCAGCAAACCCTGAGTCAAAGGCATGCTTCCTCCTGTCGGTTCCATTCCTGTTTAATTGCGGCGTACAGTAAGGTTTGAGACGCAGAGTTTGAGGGAGGGGAGGGAGCGGGGGAGGGAGAGAGCGAGAGGAAGGCGGTGGGTCGGATGCAAACCAGCCCCCCGCGGTCGGGAAATTGATCCAGCATTTCCAACTCGATCTGGACGCCCAAGGCTTTTGTCCCTGTGTCAGGCGAGGTCGGGCTAACGCCTCCATTGCATCCTCACAACACAAGAGGTATCACCACAGCTCAAGCCCTGTTGGGGGAGTGTCAAGGACATGGCATCGTCCGACCATGAGCCCATCCAAGAGACCAATGGGGGGCGAGGACCTTGAAGAAACCTGGTCAAGATGACACAGAGGCTGGCGACCACTACGATCCCAACTGGCAATTGCCGACATGGAAAGCCCGGGTTTAAAACTCTCAGTCAGCGCGCAGGTTGTTTTTTCAAGGGCAAGTCGCTGGTAGGCCGGTTAAACCATACAAGACACAGGACATGAATCACTCCTGCCGGACTGGGGGGCACTCTGTCCCACTGCGCAAACCACAGGCGTGGGAAAGTAAGCTCACCAACGAAGAGAACTGAGTTGAGGGGAAAGACGCACCACCTGAGACGAAATCATCCAAGCCACGAGGAGCAACTCTACAAAGCCAGGAGAGCCCTGTTGAGGGAAAAGGATGCGGGCGTAAACCCTCTTTTGGGCCCACGGAAAACCCGACCGACACCCACATGACGGGGAGGAGGTGGTGATCCTGGGTGGGGGCGGCAGGGCGAGGACCGGCAGGGCGAGGACCGGCGAGGAGAGCGTGACCATACCAACATCCAAAAGTTAGATGGATGGGTGAGCTGGACAGATGAATACGTGGACAGACCCTCCAGATGGAGTCAGACTGGCAAGAAAGCGGCCAGAATGTGAGAATGTGTGGGCTTAAGCTGTGCAGCAGAAGAATGATGCCTCGCAGGGCGATAAAGAATAAACGTAAGAAGCAGAGCAATATAGAACAATGCATATCGGATGCTGTTTCCCCGTGTCAGGCTGAAGCATGGCCCGCGCTTCCATCCTCCAGGACAAGCATCTGGAGTCTTAGGGTTTCCTTTGCTGCTTCGGGCTGTCTGATGAGTCTGCAAGACCTTGTAACACCTTCTAATCGTTAGCAAGCATAACTTGGACCTAATGCATAGAACGAACCGCAATGACCCGCACATTCCTCGGAGGCCGGCAGCCCCTCGTCGCTGGACCGGGCGCGCGGCTGTGCAGGACTTGCGTCCGGAAGCCTTAATGGGGTGCTTGCAAGGCGTTGGAACCGTGTGCAGCCCTCGCGATTTGCAGGGAAGTGGCTTGATTGCAGTGGCAGGAGCCAGTTTTGGACGAGGCCGAGGGTAAGGAGGACGAGGAGTGGTACGGCGAGGAGGAGGAGGAAGAGGAGGAGGAATTGGCAGATTTGAGGGCTCAGATGAGGCCGCTGGGCTTGAAACCTACCAGCTCGTTTCCCACTAGGCTCAACGGCCAAAATCCCGACGCCTGCAGCAATCAGCCCGACGCCAGGCAGATGGAGGAGGAGAATCAGAGCCTCCGGGATGAGTTGAGCCAAGAGCAGATGAGGGTCGGGTTCCTCCACATGCGGGCTCTGGGGTTTCAGACCTTTCAGCAAGTCGAATGCATCCTCGGTTTTGCTTTGAGAGGTGAAGCAGCTCCAGAAGCTGCAAGTCGAAGCTGCCCAGGCCGATGCCTCGAGTGGCGGTGCTCGTAGGTTTTGGGAAGGTTTTTCGGAAGCTTAGCTGCTTAGCTCCAGCACCCGGCAGGCTAGCCACCGAGAGTTCGAGGCCAAGAAGCGAGAGGCAAGCTACCCACACCCAGTGGCGCACAGCCTGGAAGGGACGTCTCCCAAACCCACATCCCAAACTTCAAAGGAGTTCGGAACATTTTCAGAGCACTTTCAGAGCGCCCCCTGCTCTAGACACTCATTGCAGGCTGCCGCTTCGCGTGAGCTGGAGGAGGCGAAAGCCTACGTTTCCAAGAGGCCCGGCTGACACGGAGTGACACGATGATTCTGCTGCCAAGTTCTTGCGGCACACGTGGAAGTCCTTTTTGTGTAAAAGCTTGGCAAACTCGATGCAGTTCCTGAGGCTGCCAGAATGCCATTTTGAGTGCACTCGTGCTGCACCGAGGCATGCCTTCGCCTTGAACGAGAAAGCCGAGCTGCTGAAGCAGATAGCGGACCTCGAGCGCAAGCTGCAGCCCAGACACAAATGTGGGGAATCCCTCACTAAGGCCATGAGATAAACCAACACAGAGAACACCCAGGAGAACCCTCTTAAGTTGGCCCCCAAGAAACATCCCGACATCCCTTGGCGCTGGGTTGTGAATCTCGTTCGAGATCCCTGCGGACGGCCTCCACCCGGGGAGCCCCCCCCCCCCCCCCCCCCCCCCCGAAAGAAAAGAGAAACACTGGTAATTTTGCCACTGCTGATTGCTGCACTGCATCCCGAAGTCATCCCACACCCCGAACCCCCCCGAAACGCCCGTCCCTACAATCCCCGTACCCTAAACCCCTTTAGCCGCCAAATCCTCAAACCCCCTGAGCCCTAAGCCTAAGCCTTAAAGCCTTCCGACTGAACGCTCCAGAAACCTAAGCCCTACACCCTAGAACCCTAAGCCCTAGGCAAGAATCTTCGGACCGCGAGTTGGCCCTGCGCCTCGAGGTCCAGGCCGGGCGACAGGTTTAGGGTGACAGGTTTAGGGTTTAGGGTTCATCGTTTAGGGTTTTGGAGCCCCTTGTGGGTTAGGGCTGTTTTATTGGGTTTGGGGTTTGGTACAATCAGCGATTATGGAGGATACCATGAAGACCCCCCAAAAAGCTATCATTTCAATGAACCCGAGTCATGTTCGCCTAGAGCTGCGGACGCTGGCACGCGTCGTGTCATGGTATCACATGTAATGGCTGTCGTGCCTGCAGTTCAAACTTCTGTCGTTGGTCTCCGTGTAGCCAGATGTAGCATCGGCGGCCAGGAAGCGATACAAGCACGGACCTCCAGCAGCACGCAGCAGGAGTGCAGCAGATTTGCCTGATGCCGACCTGCCGACCTGCACAGCAGGAGCTGTGTAACCCTAGCCAAGAGCATGAGGACTCCAACACAGCCAAACTCGACCCGAAGTTGCGAGTCGCTCTGTTTGCCTCGTGACTCTCGGGGAGGAGGACTTCCAGAAGGAAGCTGACCGCTGGCGAAAGGAGCTCAGGGCTGCACAGATGATGGGGAGTAGATTCTATTCTGCCCTGCCCTCGGGGCTTCACGATGGACTCGTTGAGAAGATGGATGCCTGATGATCCCTGTGTGTGTGTGTGTCCATCTGCAAGCCCATGGAACCCAGGTAGCAGAAATCACCTTGAACCCTTGACCCCAAAAGCCCAATTCCAGGACGCTGCCGAACAGGCCACGCGGGTAAAGGCTGCTGAGCAGCGAGCGCAGCAGTGTGATCCTGAGACGCTATGGTGACTCGTGTAGTGCCCTTCGGCGGGGGCCATGCGGGATATTTCAGATGGCACCTGCATGTCATGTTGTGTGTTGGCTTGCCATTTAAGATCTTGTGTTTTAATTCGTGTTGCATCGTGTCAGGCAAGCTTTAAGTGTGTTACGTCATACCATGTACCTGTTTGTGTGCACGTCTGCTTGCCCACACACATGCACGTGTATATGCATGTGTCTATGCAAAGTAGTTCCGTGAATTTCCGTGACATAGATGAACCCAGTTGATGGAATGCAAGTACGTATGGAAGGAAAGATGGCTGGTTGGCTAGCTTGCTGGATTTTTTTGTGCGTAGATTGGTGGCTTCCTCGCACTCGAACACCCCCCAGGCTCGAGCAGCGAAAGCTGGAGGACAAGGCCAAAATCAAGGCAAACTGTTTCGATGCCTTCAATTGCAGTCTCCCCTGGCCCTCCGGGCACCTTGTTCCCTCATACTGAAGACTTCAGATTCAGCAAATCGAAGAAATAGCAGGCCTTGGCAGATCAGCTCCAGAACGCTACAGCTTGAACCTCAGGATGCAAACTCCGCGCTGAGCACGGCACACTACGTCTGATGCACAGGAGCATGCTAGCTGAATCGGTATCGGCTGTCACTCTCGCTTTGGCCCTGCAGATCTTTACTTGGTTGTTTTGCTCCTTTGCTCTGCACGGGTCCCTTTTGCTGCCTCTCCAATGCCCAGTGTGCTTCAGAGCACCGGTTCCGCTCAGGCCGCCGGATTCGTGGCTGATGCGAACCATACCGATGAGAAGAGGCGGTTCTCCGTGCATCCTGCAGAGAGCGAGCCTGATGTTGTCAACCACGACAATGGTGGCATTACAAGCCGGCTAACCTCGACCCACCGCCAACTCTAGGGTGAGAGCGGCAAGGCCACTCTGATCCCACAATCCTCTTCGAGCCGATGCGCTGCCCAAACTTATGCCAAGACACCTGCATTCGCATTGTATAGTCGTATACACCTTGAAGGTTCAGAGCCAAACCCAGAAGCCCAACCCCACGAACCGCTGCAGTGTGCAGGCTGCAGGAGAGCACGAAGTCGAAGGCCCGTATTCGGAAGATGGGACTCTTGATTTTTGTTGCAGAGCTTCGCCTTTTCAGGATTTTCTGGGTGCCACCCAATCTTCCCCAAGACGGGTTCAAAGCTTGAGAAGGCTTGAGTATCATTGCTTCGAGAAGCCCTAAGCTTTCGAAACTTCCTAAACTCTAAACATGAGATGTTTTGGGGGGTAGGGCGTGTTCAGAATCCTGGGGTTTTTGTGATTGAGGGAGTCCACCTTTTGCAGGTACTCGAGGCTTCCCCTGCAGTGGACAGCTCAGTGGGGGGATCTCTTTGGCAATCCCGGCGCAAGATGATCTCAACGCAGGAAGGTGTAGGTCGTAGAGACTTACAACGCTGTTTTACTCGAGGTTTGACAACAATATGTAAACATGGGCCTGGGTCCACAGTGTACATGACTTGAGCAAGGTGGAGTTGCTTGAGAGGTGCAGCCCAACCCCCAAACCTTCAATACACCCCAGGCCCTAAAGGTTAAGCCCCTAAACCCTTCCGACCTCTGAGCCTCTTGAGCCCCATGGTGCAGGTAGGGGCTTTTGTTGCTTTGACCGTGTGGGCCCAAAGGCGACGAAAGTCTCTTCGTCGAAGGGGTTGGCAGCCTCAGAAATGGGATTTGGATGTGGTGCGGGATTCAGGGGTTTCGGGTTCTGCTTTGGATGCAACCTGTGCGACTTCTTGACTTGCGGCTTCACAGCAGGTTTCTTGCTAAAAGGCAAGCAGACGTGTCGGCTTCTCCCCAGGCTGCGAGCCCTGAGAACCCAAAGCTACCAACCCTGAACGCCGCCTAGCAACGCATCTGTTGACCTCGTGGAAAGAAGAGGTCACAGTAACGGCCCTTCGTTCGCGGCCCCCTCGAATGTGCATAGGGACCTTGTGCGTCTCGGCAGCTGAAGCCCCACTCCCCGACTCCAGAGGCACAATTTTCGAGGGATTGTCAACAAGCCCTTGGAGCCCCGCAAGCCAGCCGCGAGCTGGGCGCCCCAGACAGTGCATTCTTGCGATTCTTGCGCACCGTTTCTCGGCCCTGGCTCTTAGGGCAAAGGTTGAAGGTTAGGGGGTGGTGCACGGGCTGAGTGGCGAGGTTTGGGGTTTGGGGTTTGGGGTTTGGGTTTGGACGGAAGAGCGCTCGTTTTTTTGAGACCGCCCATGAACAACGGCTATCAGAGCTAGACGTGGAGGCATGCTCATGGCAGTCTTTGTAATTCTAGTATGAACTTGTCTGATTTAGTGAAAATTTGTCAAAACAAATAGAAGTGGTGCTGCATCTATAGAGTCTGCGTGGTGTTAAATTCGTCCTATCTATGTTGATGCATTTGTAGCTTGATGCATTGCACGCATTTTACTGAGCCGGCTTCGCCACAGCCTGGGAGTTGTAAAGTCAGGGTGTTTTGTTTGGATTTGCGAAGCTGCTCGCTTCAGAGAAGCTGTGTCTAAAGTCTTACGGCGCACATGGAGTTGACAGAGTTGAGCATAGCGAATCCAGTAGTCCACAGTCGGCCTGGGAGACTAGCGCCCGTGCTTGCACTGCTGTCGCTGTGACCGCCCTGCAATTTTGTCAAGTGTAATTGTAAAAAAGCAGTAGACAAAGTAATTCTTGCACTACCGGTGCCACGGGGGGTGCCCAGGATTCAAACCTCAAGATGCGTTCCTGGATTGCTGAAGCCTCTGCCCAGAAGACAAAAGCCTTAGGTCGGCCCTGGTACAGGCGGGGAACGACTGAACTGGGCTTAAGTTCGGAGAGGTTCAGTGGATGCTGCTTTCACGTGACGCCCCAGAAGTAGACCTAAACCGAGCTGCATTCAATTGAAGCCCGGTTTGAACAACAAGTGGGAGCATGATCGCCAGAATCAGGTGGCCCAGAGCAGTTTGACTGAGCCTTTCGGGAGGCGTAGTAAGCAATAGATGTTTCAATGCCGCCAAAACCTGAAGTCGTCAAGCCTGATAAGATGGCACTGTTTATCGGGTAGTTGTCACCCTCACCCTCACACACTTACTGAGCCCCCCCATATTTGCGGAGGGTTGGCTGTGAGGCGGCTCGCTGGGTTCTGCTGCCGACGGGCTTCATGGGCCGTAGAAATGGCGCAGGCCCGGTCAAGCTCAGTCGGAATCCTACGGTGACACTCGAAATATTGTCAGTCGCCAAGCCCTATAAAGCCCTAAGCCAGAACGCCATTTTTGCCTCGATGGTTGGCTGTGTATATAGCCGCGCGAGACACCGAAAGAGTTTTTCCAGGAGCATTCACTTTTGAAATGAGCTCAGGGTCTCGGTTCAGTTTGTGCATGTTTGCGCCAGGCATGCCAGAAGCAGGCTGTGGTGGCCAAGCCGCCACAGAAAGCGCCGAAAGGCCTTGCACAATTTTGGGGTTGACCTTTTGGGGCAGATCTGCTGAGGACTTGCGCCTCAAGGTGCCTTGAATTTCACGTCTTGGAAGCTTGAGCATCTCTGAACCCCAAAACTCACGGCGCGAGGCAAGCGAGCGCCTGCTGAGAAGGCTGTGAAGTCAGCCGGCACCTTTCAGGCGCGCTGTGTGCCCGCTGTGGAGCCAGCGTTGTCATCCAACTCCCAAGAACCTCTCGGCTCTGCTGAAAGCTGCTGTGATTTCTGAGGCGCACCCGGAGCAGGTAGACACCGAGCTGAGGCCAGTCTCAGCTGTGACCTATACTAAGTTCTACTAGAGTTACTGGAGTCGGAATTGCTGCGCTGATGCAACTATGCTCTGGGTCGTCACGCTTGCCTTCACGGATGATAACCACAAAAGGTGAGGAGGGGCTCCGCTGAGGATTGTTCATGTCTTGGGCTTGGAATTACGAGACGAATGCAGGCCGCATGCTCCGTGGGAGGAAAACTGATGTCCAAGGAATCAAGAATCCGTGCTTAAGAAAGCCCGAAGCTTGAGACTTCGCAGGCATTTTGAGAACCTGTAACCACCAAACTTCCAAGACAACCAAGCAGAAAGTCACACCCAGAAGCCCCAAACTTCCGGATGCGCTCACCCCCCGTGGCACGACATTTGCGATTGGAATAAGCTTCAGAATTCGGCTGTTTTAACGGCAAAACCTTGCAATCCTTTGGGCTGAAGATTTGCGTAGAGTTCCTTCAAGTTTCTTGCACGCGCCCCTGGACCCCACGGCCATGACCCCGTTCTTTCAATTAAGCGGAGATTCAAAAAACAAAATCGAAAAGTCAAAAAGTCGAAAAGTCAAAAAGTTCTCGACTTTTCGACTTTTTGACTTTTCGGGACTTTTCGGGACTTTTCGGGTTTTCGACTTTTCGGACTCCTCCCCCTTGGACCCAAAACGGTATTCCTACGCACCACGAACAGAAAAACAAAGAAAGGAAGTTGTTCCAGCCAAGGAACATCGCGATTCTCCAGTCTCTTCAACGAACCACTAACCAAAACGTCACGCTCGACCTTATAGGCTTTCAACCTTACGACCTGACACTTTCAAGCCCCAGTCCTCAACTCTATAAACCAGACAAGTCTTCTTCTTATATCCTCAACCACAAGCCGCTGCATGCTGCTCGCTTTCGGCATCCAGTCCACCCCCGCCCCCCCCTCGCTCACGTTTCGACTTTCAGACGCTTGTCGCAAGTTCTCGACTTATCTGGGCTTTACCGGCTTTTACGCGTTTCATTTTTTTGCTTTTCCACTTTTCGACTTTTTGACTTTTCGACTTTTCGGAACTTGTCGGACTTTGTGCGCGAAGCTCTTGTCCAAATCCACTTTTCGACTTTTCGACTTTTCGACTTTTCGACTTTCTTTGTCCGTACTCCACTTGCGGCCACGGACAACCGTTCGCACAGCCACGGCCGAAGGCCATTCTTGGGCCTTGAAGATGAACCATGCTCAAAAAACTCACGTGTGTGTGTGTGCGCGCCAAGGGTGCACAAAAATCTGGGCATCTCCTCCGTGTAGTTTGTGATTTACTTGTGCGTAAGTGTTAGAAACATGTAAGCCCGTGTGATTTCCCCAACAAAAAGGAATGTGTTTTCATGCACGCTCAATGGTTTGCACCGGTGTGTTCTGTTTGCCTCGCAACGCATCCGAACCTGATTCAAGGCAAGCTATTCGAGACGCAAGTATTGCTTCCCGGTGTTTCTCATCTGTTCTGGCTCTGGGCAACAGTAGCAGCCGCTTGCAGACAAGTTTGGTTTTCGAGCACAACCAATGGCGAATGCATTTTCGCAAGCCCGGAAATGCATCTGGCTTGGTTTCGGCAGAATCTTGCGAAGCTTTGCCTTTTGACCAATGTGATGCTGGAAATTTGCATGAAACTTTGGCGTTCTCAGGAAAACCCAGTTGCTGCAGATGCACATGCGATGGATTCAGCACCCTCCGCTCCCTCGTTCGCGCGGCCCTGCAACATGAATGCCCCGCACATGCTCAGTGGCATTATTCACCAATATGGCAACCATTTCCCCAAGAGTCTACAACTGCCGTATACCAGAGGCTTTCATAGGAAAAGTGCTTCCGCTATTGCTTGCAGAGGCAGTTTTGGCAGAACGAACGTAAAACATGAACGCTGTTAATACCCACTAACAGCATGAATCCAGCATGAACCTGGTCCGTAAATCTTTCCCACCGTAGGGCATGCAGTTCTTACATGTTCTTACAGTAAGCCTTTTGCGTTGTGCTCGTTTGTGCTTGATTTGCATGTCTTGGCATCTTCCCCGAGGTCTGAGGGTGTGAAGATGGCGCGATTAGGTTGTGATACGCTGTGATTGTTTTAGACAAGAGCCTCGGCTCCAAGGGCTGGTGCTGTGACGTTGGAAGATTGAGTTTGAACAAGCGCACAACTCGGCATGCCAGACGTCGTGTTTCTAAAGGTGTTTGCAAAAGCCAACCCTGAGACCCACATGTGATCCGTTTCCCGAAGAGGCAACGCGCTGTCCTGGCGCTCCTCGTCGTGTTCATCGCCTGCCTCGCAGCGTCCAAGCTGGCGAGATGACATGGAGGCCACGGCCCATCTTGCAATTAAGCTTCAGCTCTGAGTCGTCAGATTCCAAAGTTTCGGCTACCCTAAACGCATCAGCGAGCTTCGAGGCCCTACAGCCCAGTTATGCCGCTCATACCGCAGAACCTCTACCCACCTGTTGCAGGGTCCTCTTCGGGAGCTGAGCTGTGCACCGCTCATGCTGAAATCTAGCTCCTCAACGCCTTGGAGCCCCTGCCCAAATTCCACTGGAAGTCGGCTTGGTGACTTCTTCTCAAGAAGTATGAAGATGAAGGTTCTTGAGGCAATCCCTTCCTCTCCCATGTACCCTTGTGATGTCTTGCTCCAGTGGGTCATCGTGTTTCGGATTTGGGCTGGGGTCTGCCACGGCAGCGGCGAACTGTCGGCGAACCTTGGGCCAATGGGCAAGGGCCTGCGAGGCCCTCCAACCTTTTGGAGACCCACGGTACCTATGCTACTGCTTTACGCCTTCACCTGTGGTTTGCTGCGCTGAGTCTGAGCTTCGCTTTGCTGAGGTGCATCGGGTGTTCAGCAGATGCAAGCCCCCTTGCGTAGATGGCGTAGACTCGGGGCGGCCGAGTGCCTCTGAAACATGATGCACGATCAGGCCGATCAGGTGCTCGCTCTATCTGGCAGATGACATTTGGTAGCACACAACCGAACTGGGCTTCGAACATTCTTTGCACCTCAGCGAGGCATCAGTGCCTGCGTGCTGCATGGCCTAGCATAGCCGAAGAGTCAAAAGGAGCAGACTTGCAGCTCACGACGACACCTCCCAAACCCCAAACCTCGGGGAATGGCCGACCTTGTGGGAAGCAAGGACTAGAAGGGCTTAGACTTAGGCTCGACAACTCCCTCTCACAGCCTTTTTTGACCTGCTACTCCAGTGCTTTGGAGGCTTCCGCCGAGTGTGTCACTTGCAGCTGCTGACCCCCCCCCCCCCAAACCCCCTGCACTTCAGAACAACTCCCCCTTACATCTGCCCACCCGATGCCTTCCAACAGCAGCTGGAGCCCTAGAACACTGGAACCCTGAGCCGAGGACCCCTAAGTTCTGAAGACCCACCATGCTTTTGGGGGATGTCGGGTTGTCGGGGAGTTGAGGGCCTCAACCCTAGGCCCTCAGATCCAGCAACCCGTTTCGTCTTTGGCTCAAGTTTCCGTAGACTCGGGTGCGTGAGTCCGCTCTCCTCTGGGCGGCGGCCCGCGGGGGGCAGGCGCCCAGGGGTTTGCAGTTTCTTCGTTCTTGTAGGTCCTAACCGGGCTGCTGGAGAGAGGCGCCGCAGTGAACAAGTGCTTCAACACAAGAAGAAACCTGGCAACATGTCCTCGGAACAGATCCGGGGACCTCCCTTCTTGCTGCTGTTTTCGTGGTTCACATACAAAACACCTCAAAAACCTCCTAAACCTCCGAATCCGCCTAAACCTCTTGAATCTGAGCCCTTAATCGACTTAATCCCTTGTAAGCCCCAAAGGCTCTCAAAAGCCCCTGAAGCCAACCTCTGCAGGGCCAAGGGGATGCCGAAATTCCAAGGCAACCTCTGGAACATGCCCGGATGCTCTGCTGAGGGGGTTCGATGAGTGGTCTTTCTGAGGGTCTTTTTTTGAGGGGTCTGTCGGGTTGCGTGATTGGGGTTTTGTGCAGGGCTTCAAAGGCTCAAGCGTCCAGCGTGTTTCACCGTATCATTTTTTGAGGGCCGTTTACGCGTGCAGCACTTTTTGCTACAGGGGCTCGGCTGCACACGTTACATGCCGAACCCCTCCGCCTTGTGGCCAAGGTCCACCTGCAATCGCTTAGTGGCCGAGCGGACAGAGCTACGCCGCGGGGGTCTTGTGTGTGTCAGTGTGGGGGTGTAGAGCTTGGGGTTCAGGATGCTCTGATCGTATTCAGACGACTGGGCCAAGTGCCTGGCCTGACATGGGTTTCCTTGATTCAAAGTTTCGGAAATCGGGGTCAGCCTCCACCATGAACTGAGGGCATGAGAAGCATCTCCAAGCGCTGGAAAGCACCCGGGGTCTCGCTGGGGACCTGGACACAGCGAAGGGAGTGAAGTGACAGAGTGTGGTTTAGGTTTAGGGTTTGGGGCTTCTCTCTCTCTCTCTGTCTTGTTGTCTTTTGCTTTGGGGTTCTTAATCCTTCAAGAGTTCTATCTGCTAAGGGTCAAGCCAATAGAACAATGAGTGCCAAGATGAGCTGGTACCCAGAAGGGCCCAGAGAATGTAGATCGGCACCCAAATCCACGCAGGCACAGCAAGCAGGGCCTCAAGGCTCCCCGAAGTTATGGCAAACCCAGGAGGGTCCTGAACCCGAAGCCTCCAAGCCCAGGTGGTTTTTTGAATTTAGAGTCTCTTTGCCTGTGGATTCAGGTGGATGCCAAGCAACCGAAGGAGCACACGCATCTGCGGAATAAGCTGAAGACCAGGAAGCTGCAGGAGGCGGCGGTGAACCGAAAAGCGGGATCTTTTTGGGGGTCAGGCTTCGTTTCGGAGAGTTTGCGGAGCTTCGGCTTTGCATTTTGCGGAGCGCTCTCCGTGTAATGAGGGTCTTTCAGGTGATTCGGAGGGTGTTTTTCAAGTTGGTGTGCTGTTAAGGTCATCTTGGGTCCCAAGGGCCTCTAGCGGACTCTAGCGCCTCGGGGCTCAGTGGCTCGAGGGCTCCAGGGAGCCTCTGGGGTGCGATCGGCCAGGTCTACCCGAAAGAGGAGTGCGCCCTGAGTATGCATTTTCCCCGCGTCCTCTGCCATCGAAAGATATGGAATATCCCAACGGCTTAGTAGGATGAACAGTTCACACCAGCTCTCGTGTTGCCAGGACCGTGCTGCAGAAATTCAGGCCAGTGATTCTTGACAAGCCAATTCAAGCCTGGATGCAGAGTTTAGGCGGCGTCGGTCGGGGAGCTGGGCAAGACTCAGCGGGAACGTCGTTACTGGGTTGTGTTAAGCTGTGAACGCTTGTATAGGGGGGATCCCAGGAACGTCCCAGGGGGCAGCCAAGGGCAAAAGCTCTGAAGAAGGCTTCAGGGCCGAAGGGGGCGTTTCAGCCCCAGGGGTTTGGGGGGGGGGGGGGGGGGGGGGGGGTGAAGGGGGGTGAAGGGGGGGGGAAGGGTATTGAAGGTTTGGGCGTGGTCACAGCTAGAAACTCCAGAAGAATCGGATTGGACCACTCATTTTCAGAGCTGTCCTCTGCAAGTGTCTGGTGCCAGGAAGTCATCAACTTGTGTCATTCATGCTGCTTCCTCCCTTGGCACGGCGCTAACCATGAACAAGTTCTGCGAGTAGCGACCGCGTATTGCCCTTGACCCGACCTACAGATGGCCGGTGTCATGGGAGCTCATCACCATTATTCACATGACTCTGGCGTCACAAGCACTGGCATCATGCTTTCAGTGACGACTGGCATTGATCAAGAAGATGTTGTACATCAAAGTAGGCGGTAAACATGTCGTGGCGCGAGCCGCAGCCCTGCAAACCCCATAAACCCTAAACCCACTTCGCGCCTAGCCGTGAGAGCCTGGCCTGCCCTTCAGCTCGAGAACCGCATCCTGCTTCAGAAGATGTTGAACATCGACACCAAGCCATCGCAGGCCCTGGGGGCTTTTGCTCTGTAAATCATGTAAAGCTTATTTCTACCTAAACCATACTTAGCTGCAGAGGAAGGGCCCTACACCCCAAAACCCTAAACCCCGAACCCTCAACCGTGATTCTTGCACAGATCAGCGATGCACAGATGAGTACCGCCACGCGCCCGCGCAGTCTGAAGCCGAGCGTGAACTGCAGTCTTCCGTTTGGGGAGTCGGGGAGTTGGGGCGTAGCGTTTTGGGGTTTAGGATTTGGGGAGATTCTGGGGTGTGGGAGTTTAGGGATTGGTGGGTTCAGAGTGGGAACTCTCAGACTCCGGAACCCTGGCGTGAACGGCTTCTCGAGTTCCCGACTGCCCTTCAGTGTAGGGGTTGAAGGTGTAAGCAGTGCAAGCCCACTCCAAACGCCAAACCCCACGTCGTTTGAACGCAGCCCTGGATGTGCCTGGAGGCCTTCATGGCGAATCACAGCGGAGGGAAGCAGGGCGAATCGCGGCGGAAAACCAGGCAGGGCTCCACCCATCATCCTCGCTCCACCGAGCACTTTCACAGAAGCAAAGTTTGCGAAGATGCTACACGGCTATACGGGGCATTTGTTGGATTTTTGAGCATCTTCATCCCCAGGCCCCTCGGCGCCTAGGCCCCGAAACCCGCAATCGACTTGTTACTGCACTCTTCTGCATTAGCAGAAGCACCGGGCGCCGTTCTGTTCACCTCGCTTGCCAACAAGGGTAAGGTCGGCTGTGAGCTGAAGCGCACAAGATCCAAATCCGAAGCACTTGTGACATCTCGCTGTGCAAGGCGGGGTCCTTGTAGCTGTTGTAGCCCTCAGGCTCTGCTGCAGAGACTGCAGAACACCAAGCCCTCGATCGATCCGCGTGCATGGGATGAGGAGGAGGTCGATCGACAGGCCGGGCGGGACTCCGCGGGGCAGAGGGTTGGAAAGAGTGTGTGTGGTCTGTTTGCAGAAGCTCTAGCACGTTTCTGACTTAGGACGACTTTGGGACTCTGCTGTCCAAGTGAACCCGTACCCCCGCGAGGCCCTGAAGTTCCGGCTCTCGCAGAACTCGTCCGCCGGTCGAGTGATGAAGTTGCGAATGCCGGGTCCTCAAGTTCCACCGGCCTCCCTGGCTTGAGATTGGTTGGGCACTTTAAGAAGCGCGAAAGCATACTACAATTTCTCGTTGACAAAACACAAGGTTGCTTCACCACCTCTGAAGCACATATTGCATACCATTGTCTACCATATAGATATACACGACATTTTTTAACACACGCACACACACACACACACATATATATATATATATATACATATATATGTATGTATGTATGTATGTATGTATGTATGTATGTATGTATGTATGTATGTATATATATATATATATCACAATAGAATCGGTCCCTGTGCGGCATCACAAGTGTGCTTGGACAGAGCGCAGATCAGCAGATCTCAGAATCTCGGAACTTGCCAGCCTACGTGTTGGTTGGATCAGTGAAGCGATGTGCAGGGGCTTTAAGGTTCCCTGCTGCGGGATCCAGGGTTCCAGCTTGACAGCTGAATGCTATTTTTTGAAGGACTTTTTGTCAATAGGGGTTCGAGTATGAAAGATACTTTATTGTAAAAGGGGTAAACGGGTAAACCCGAAACCCATGGAGCCCCACATTCGCTCCGCCAAGCCCAGAATGGATGGAAGTTCTGGGTCCAGCCGTAGAACTTCCGCAGCCCTACACACCCTCACACCTGAAAACCGCGCAGCCAAGCTCTTAAGGGCTAACAAAAAGAGTACCCGAAAGCCTGGAACCCCCAAAGCAATCCAAAGCAGATCTCGAGGCCTCACAAGGAGATGGGCAGTCGGCTCCCGAGGACTGCCGAGGTTGCGTGAAGCTGGGTGTTGCTCTCATGTTGCAGACGGTGCCTTTAGCGATCCCGCGCCGTAGACCACGAAGAGGATCGAAGACGGTCCAGCACCGAAGGAATCAACTTTCCACTTCGCGTAAGGGGCGTGGAGGAGGGATCGACACCTCAATGGATCTGGGTGAACATCATCTTGCAATACTTCACGGCTCCTTTGGAGGTTAAACCCCTCCAAATTTCCCATTTAGTGGTTTAAAGCCTCAACATTGGAGAATGCAAGTTGCGAGGATTGCCGACTTTGCCGGTCGAACCGAGTCAGACTGGGACGCGATTGTCAAGCCTTGACTGACGCAGACCCCCCTCCAACGTAGGCATTGGATGCTATCAGGGTTCCTTGTTGGTCTACTCTTAGGGCTTAGGGTGGTTGGGCTTAGCTGGGCCAAGGTTTCTTGAGAAATCGGCCTCTGATCACAGTCTCACGTCTCACAGGGCGGTTCTCTAAACTGCTGAGGTCCGAAGAAGGCAATTGTCCAACCTAACCCCCAACACCCCCAACACCCCCACCCTTTAAACGACTAAACCCCGAATCTTGGGCCCCCTCCAGGGTCCTCAGCTGTGAGGCCTCAGTTTAGGAAATTGCCCACATGACCTTAGCCGACTTCTGAGGCAGGGCTGTTGAAATCTCGAAAACAATGCCTTTCTTGCGGTGTTCCGGGTTTGCGTGAGCCTAGTGTCCCTGCCCGGCTTCATTCATACTCTCTCGGACTCCCAATATAGTATCCTCATACCCTCATCTGCCGAAACTTTGCACCCTACGCAGCAAAGTCCGTACCTGAGTTCGGCTCGAAGGGGGGCGGAAGACCCTCTCCCAATGGCGAGCCAACGGCAGAGGTCTCAGCTCACAGTGCGGCGTCTCTTTGGACGCTCAGGTTGAAAGGAATTATCCCAATCCCAGATCCACGGCCTTCAAGCCCTTGGCTCATAGACCTTCTCCCCCTCCATCATCCCACAAAACCCAATAAATTTGTCACCCTGGCCAGTTCCTGAGGTCCTTCTGCTACGGTTGCGATCGAGAGGCGGGAGTTCAGGGTTTAGGGTGCCGTGGAATAGTCCGCTTGTTTGGCTCGGGACAGCTTCGCCATGCAATAGGGTGACCACACGCTGCCCTAAGACCCTTCCCTGAAACCCGAGATGCCCTTTCTCGCGCCCCCAGCGACCACGGGTCCTAGCCGCGCCTTGAGGTGTAGAGTAGAGGGCTTAGGGCCTTTAGGGCTGCCCTATCAACAGCCACGCCTAAGGGAGACTTGGCAGGTGTCTGCCCTTGTTCAGGGAGACCATGAATTGCAGCTGGGACCCCAGCACAGCTTGTACGCAGGCCCTTGGCCCGCTTGGGGTGTAAGGGGTTGGTGTTTGCAAGATGTTGTTAAGGCTTCAAGGGCTTTAGGCATTGGGGTGAAGGGTTTCGGTTTCCGTCTGAGGTTTCGTTGGGCTTGGGTTCGTAGAGTCTCGAAGTTTTCTCAGTTCTGGAACAGTGGGTGATCAAGCGATAGAATAGAAGTCCAGCCGTTGCAATGCCCCCCCCTCCCCCAAATACCCCACTACCTCAATACCCCACTACACCAATACCCCAATACCCCAATACCAACTCATTCTGAGGTGCCCCGACTGCAGGGGCTCCTGTTGGCTGCTCAGACTCGATGCCTCAGCATGGTAGGCTTCGGGCGTTTTTAGGATCTTTCAGGCCAATGCTATGCAATTCAAGCCAGTCACTGCACTGCACTGGTTGTACTTGAAGTTGTTGCTGCTGACTGAATGCTGCCGAAGTGCATCTGCCAGATGCTAGACGCGGCATGTTGCCGTAGGCGGCATTTCTACGCACCCTCCCCCCAACAGAATGCACGCAAACTTCGTCCACGAGCAACAGCAGGGTTTAAGCCCAAAGCCCTTTATCGATGTAAAACCAGTTTAGCCTGCTACCGTGTCTTGAATTTGCGCGTGCTCGTAAAGCAGCCATCGCGGGCACATGAGCTTGGGGATTCGCCAACCCAGCCTCACTTTGGTAATCCGGTGTGGCTTGGGTAGGCTTTCATGCGCCGCCGCACCCCCTCATCCCGCAGCCCCCAGCAGCACAGGTGTGGAGTCCCTGCAGCCTGAGCAGATGAGTCAGGCCTTGTGCATGAGGTGTTGTGGTGGCTTGTGTGTAGGGGGCTTTTGGGGGTTGGGCGTGAGGGGTTTAGGGATGTTGTTCTCTCAGGAGCTTGACATGGATGTGTCAGAGTTTTGGAAGCGTTTGGTAGGGTTCAGGTAGGGTTGCCGGGCGTGTTGGGAGACTGTGGCTCAGCTTGTGCCAGCCCAAACCCAACAATCACACACCGGCAGGTGGAAGCACCGTCTCCGCCCTTCCTGGCGCAGGGGGCCCCAAAGTTAGCAGCACCCTAGCAGGTGCTCCAAAAACATGATGCCGTATCGTCAACTTCCGCCCGATACTTCGCTCAAGTTGGACGGCTACAGTAGAGCGCGAATGCGGAAAGAGTGCAACGCAGCAAGGTGGGAGGGCCGGCCGCGGACAGGGCCGTTTCCGATGCCACCAGGGTGCCAGGGCAGATCAGTGGCCATTTGTTTCCTAGAGGTCCTCGACTTTTCCTTGACTCGAGTTCCAAATTTTTACTTCGTTTGTTTACTTGTTTACTCTACCAGTCACTATCAGCCTAATCGCATTCCCTGTATGTCTTAGTTTTGTTTGCGATGCTCGCATATGTGTAGCACAGTGCAGCACCCTGAGAACCCTACTGAAGCCCTGATGCCTTAGGTTGCGATCTGACCTCTTGTGCCGATAAGCTGGGTACCTTTTTTCAGGTCCCCCAGTGCTTTAAGTGTAGGAGCCAGGTTCTGAGTCAGCTTGGAGAAGGCAATATGGTTAGCAACGTCAGTAAAATCAGTAGAACAAGAGCCCTCAGCATCCAAAGGAGACCTGGTTCCCGTCCGATCGACCTCTCGGCACTCCCACCTCGACCTCCACCAGCAGCCTCGGTGCTGTTGGCCTCGCTCTCGGCCGGAAGGGTGCAGGGCTTATGGGTTGAGGGCGCAAGGTGTTGAGGATTCAGAGCTCAAATTCGTGCTCCAAGGGATTGAAAGGCGGCAATTCGGGTCCGAGGTTTAAGCTGGAGTGTCTCAACGCCCGCCAGCGCAGAACCTCCACTCCCCTAAAACCCGTAAATTCCCGAAGAGAATCCACCACATTCCACCACCAACCCCCCCCCCCCCCCCCCAAACACCTTCTCAGGCACAAAGCCTGCGTGCGAACGCACGCGGCACCCGGCTGCGACGCCATCAAGGCGCCTCATCCGCCCTGCTGGTTCAGAGTCCGTTTTTTTGTTACGGCTTTACAGAAAGAAAGGAACTGAGGGTCAGAGTGTGGGCTAGCTGCTTGAGTCTCAAGAAAACCCCTTCTTCTGTTGTCATCAGGTTGGCGGCACTTTGGACGAGATAGTATGGTAATAAGGGTAATGCACGCTTCGAGTTAGGCTCCAGCCAGTACGTCTGCGGGTGACCACTTGGGTGTCTTGACCCTGTCTTTTTGTCCAGCGGAGTATATCACACGAAGTTTTGTTGCGCAGAAGCATCTCAGGACTTAGATGATGAGTGGGGTCATGCGGCGTTTGTCCAGGAGTTTGAGTTGTGTCCTGAGTTGTAAGGCCTAAGGATGCCTAAGGCCAAGCCCGGGAGTTGGCTAAGTGGTTCTCAATATCGAAGGATAGGGCGGCAGATCCGATTGAGGGCTTTGGGGCCTAGGGCTCAGGGCTGAAAGAAGACTCTTTCGTGAGCTGCGAATTGCAGTCCCTAAACACTAAAGCTGGGGAGGGGCAGGGGGGGGGTGGGCATGGGTCGAGGTGTGGAGACTTTTGTGGGAAGCGCCTGACGCCCCGCGGGCCTGGTTCTAGTGTCAAGGGTGTCCTTTCAAGGGGCATCTCTGAACCCGACCCTGAACACCAAACACTCAGTGTAGCATTTCCGAGCGCTGGCTTCGTGTGACTGCACTCCGACGCGGGTTCACATCATGTAAACGCACGGCTGCCAGCAAAGTTCAGGGTTGAGGGTTCAGGGTATTCTCTGTAGTTTACGCTGTCTTCCAGCCGAGGGCTTTGTGTCACCCCACGTTGCTCCTGTGCAGCAAGCGGTGAAGCCAAGCAGATGAGTTGCCATCAGGCCCTATCGGTGCACGATCTGGCTCAGGCTCGACTGTGGTTTCGACCCCTGCGACACCCAAGTCTTAAGTGC